CATATGCAGCCAGCACACATGTAGAAGGAAACAAATCACACACCACCAAAGAGCACAGCACATTTATCATTTATCATCCCACACAGCACTCACACACACACACACACACACACAGCACACATACACACACTTTCCCATATTCACGCCCACACATATACACAGACTGCAAAAGTGCTCACAGTTCTCTGAGAAACTGGTTGGCGCGTAGTCTCTTCACGTCGCGAACGTCAAATACAAAGTTGACTGTCAAGTCAAGCTTCTCCAGGCTCTCGACGCCTGTATGTACGTACCAGTTAATTGCAGTGGTGTGCAAGGTGGGTGCTGGCTGCAAGTGCGCGTGTTGGCAACAAGACGGACGAAAGCACCAATACACGCACACACGCACACGCACAGAGCAAAAGGGTGTATACACATCCACGTATACATGCACACGCATACACGCAAACATATGCACACACACCTTCGAGGTTTTCAATAACTTGAATGTTGTTGAGGGCAAGGTTGATGTACTTGAGCCGCTTCATGCGCCCGAGGTTCTCTGCATGGTGAAATAAGGAGCAGTAGGATGACAATGAGGAACAGTGTGTGGAAGAGAGAAGGAGAGGGAAAGGGGAAGAGAGGGAAAGGGGAAGAGAGAGAGGGGGGGGGAGAGCGAGAGAGAGAGAGAGAGAGAGAGAGAGAGAGAGAGAGAGAGAGAGAGAGAGAGAGAGAGAGAGAGAGAGAGAGAGAGAGAGAGAGAGAGAGAGAGAGAGAGAGAGAGAGAGAGAGAGAGAGAGAGAGAGAGAGAGAGAGAGAGAGAGAGAGAGAGACGCACACACACACACACACACACAGACACACACACACGCATGCACACATACAGCCGTCGTAGACACTGCGCACAACAGCAAGCGGCTAGGCATAGGAACTCAGCGGAGAGGCAGCTTGGTTCAAACGCACCAATCTTGCCGATGATGTTGTTTTGGAGGTACAGAATCTGCAAGTTGCGACATGCCGAGTCCAGCACTTCAATCCTACAAGAATGTCAAAAGGCGATAGCGAGTGAAAGGTCTTTGGTGAGCTTGTGATTTGTTGTCGGGAGAAGGAGGTGTGCATGTGGTGCAGTGTGTGATGGCCAGCCGCAGCACGGCGAGCACCCACTTTTCCAGGTTCTCTTGGTGCAGTGAAATCTCTTCCAGCGTTGACAGCTCCTTGTTGTTGTGCTCCGCCCGCTTTCGCAGCAGTGCAACCGTGACTGGAAAGGGAGGTGTGTGTGTGTGTGTGTGTGTGTGTGTGTGCGTGTGCGCGCGTGCGTGTGCGTGTGTAGAAAAAGAGCGGTACGAGCTGAGGCAGACGCAGACACACAGACACAGACACAGACACAGACACAGACATAGACACAGACACAGACACTCACACACCACACACACACACAGACACAGACACACAGACACAGACACACAGACATAGACACGCACACACGACGACACACACACACACACACACACACACACACACACACACACACACACACACACACACACACACACACACACACAGACGCACTTCTTCCCATGTTGGCTTGTTTGCGCAGTCGTCGCCAGGCAAGACAGTTACTCGCAATTTATGCTGTCGTACACGACAAGTGCGATGAGCGACGTTTTTGTGGTGCTGCTGGCGGGGTGGGATGACGATGGTGCAGTGGCAGTGCACGCGTCAGAGTATGCAGGGTGCCGCATGGTGAACGTGCCCGGTTTGCTGCAGGCTGGTGTGCTACGCAGCGATGGTGTGGGTGCCATCGCGAGAATGGTGCGAGATGAGGTGCATAAGGCAGTCAGAAGCAGCTCCAAGCATCCCTGCAAGGGTGTTCTGCTGTACGATCCCGCACTGGGAGGTGCCAAGGTGCGTCGCGCCTTCACCAGCGCCATTCAGAAGCAGTTGGCGGGCCAGCCGATCCACCCCACCTTCATCCACCACTCCTTGAACACGCCAGGTGAACGCACACGGAGAGGAGAGAGGGTGTGCTTGTGTGTGTGCGTGTGTGTATGTGTGTGTGTATGTGTTTGTGTGTGAAGCGAAACTTGGTGACTGAGGCGTGCGTGTGGCGTTACATTCCATCACGTGAAGCAAAAGCGTTGCAGCTTGAGGTTGCACTGCAACTGCTCTCTTCGCCAAATCTCACATGTGTACTTGCGTCAATACAGGCGCTGAGGAGCAGTGCTTGTGGAAGAGCATTTGGAGACACGGGAACGCCATCTTGCTCGCGCTGTCACACAACCCGAAGGTGACATCGGTTCCTTTCGACTACTTGAAGGCGCTTCGGCGCTTTATTCGCTTGCAGGTGAGGCCACACACACGCACACACACACATGCACACACGCGCGCGCGCATGTGTAATGTGGCGGCATACATTTGTGTCTGGATAACACTGCTTGTGCTTGTTGACCTGTGCCCTCTTTCTCCAACCATCGCATCGCGCACACACACATACACACACACACTTGTTAGGCGGAGAGTGAAGATGGACGCTCCGACGACGGCTGCGCAGAGCACCGAACAACCGACATGCGATTGGTATGCATGTCGTGTGTGTATGTATGTACGTGTGTGTGTGTGCATAGGTATTTCGGTTCTCTCGAAGATAGATCTTGCGTCCTTGTCGAAAGGGCAACATCCATAATGCATCACCGTCCTCTCATGGATGTCATCCCCGCGTGTGTGTTCTCCTCGACAGTTTCTTCCAACAGTGTTTCAGGTAAACCATGCGGAATGTGTGCGCGCGCGTGCGAGTGTGTGTGTGTGTGTGAGAGAGAGTGAGAGAGATTGCGTGTGTGTGTGTGTATGTGTGCGAGTGTGCGAGAGAGAGATTGTGTGTGTGTGTGTCTGTGTGTGTCTGTGTGTGTGAAAGAGAATGTGTGTGTCTGTGTGTGTCTGTGTGTGTGAAAGAGAATATGTGCGCCTTTGAGAAGAGATTGAGACAGACGCAGACGTCTACACATGCACACGCGCGCACACACACACACACGCAAACACATTCACACGCATACGAACAATGCATTTGGCTTGTTATTCCCGCTGGTCTGGTTGCTCGCTGCCAGAACTATGCTGCTGGCCCAGCGCTGTTTCTGGACTGGGATTCCATCACCGAATACACGCCACAGGGCGACATGCGACTCAAGCAGGTGCGATCGTGGGTTGAAGATGAAGGTGGATGCTGGTCATTGTGTTCGCTGTGCACATGCCGCCAATGGACGTGTCGTGTTGGTTCTCTTTCCATTCACGTATACCCTCTCCCCTGTGTGTGTGTGTGTGTGTGTGTGTGTGTGTGTGTGTGTGTGTGTGTGTGTGTGTCTGTGTGTGTGTGTGCCTGTGTGTGTCTGTTGTGTGTCTGTTTCTTCGCGCACGACCTCACACACACACACTCAGTCACTCACACACACACTCAGTCACTCACACACAAACACACACACACTCACTCACGCGTTCACGTGCGTGTGCGACCATTGACCTGCCTCCGCATGCATCAGAACCTGAATCAAGTGATTCGGAAGTGGCTGCTGCGGGCAAGGTGCGAACACACGCAAATGACACGATGCTGCCCATGTGGGCTTCACCTGTCTTTCTGTTTTGTGCCTTGGTTGTGTTTCGCGTGAGCTTACCCACTGCTCCACATTCGCTGCGGACACGTCTGCTCTTGGCGATAACAACTGCATTTGCGCTTATAACCGTGCACTTGCCTGCCCATTCATGTGTGGTGTGCTGTGCTCTGTGTGTGTGTGTGTGTGTGTGTGTGTGTGTGCTGTGCTCTGTGTGTGTGTGTGTGTGTGTGTGTGCGTGCGTGTGTGTGCGGCAGGAACGGACGCGTGTGCATTGTCGGGCCGAATGACGTGCGTGTGCGGTGACGTGCTGCAAAGCACACAGCATTGAGGTGGAAGGAGTTGTTGTTGTTGTGTGCACGTGTGTGTGTGTGTGTGTGTGCACGTGTGTGTGTGTGTGTATGTGTGTGTGTGTGTGCGTGCGTGAACAGCAACGGAGATGGGAGGGTCGGATACTGATTGTACACTCTACCCCACTCCACAATCGACACCACCCCACACATCACCCCACATATCACCCCACACATCACACCACAACGCGCAGGGCGCGTGGAATCCGGCTGTGAGCGATTCGTGGGAGCGGCACTCGCAGGACGTGCGCGACACAATTGCGAGTCTCGTCAGTACCATGCAGCAGTGTGTCCTCTTCTTTGTCTTCTGCAGACCAAACTCCGAGCTGGCAGACTGCTCGTTTTCAGGTGCGCACATGTGGTGCTGATGCACGCTTCAACGCAAACATGCTCATGCAAACAGCGTTCCACAAATAACCGCACTCGCACACGCACACACTGACTGACTGACTGACTGACTGACTGACTGACTGACTCACTCACTCACCTTCACTCACTCACTTACATACACTCACCCACTTACATACACTCACTCTCTCACATACACTCACTCACTCACATACACTCACTCACTCACATACACTCACTCACTCACATACACTCACTCACTCACATACACTCACACACACTCACACACGTACATGCACACATTGCAGCGTGCGCGGTGCTGTTTGCCTGCATGCACCAAATCGACCTGGACCACTCTGCAACACTCTTCCTCACAGACAAGCAGGCGCCCAACGTTGGCTTGCCGTGCCCGACAGCAAAAGTTTCTGCGTGTGTTGCCTCACCGCAGGTCATCACGAGCGTGCGCATCCACAACCCAACGCGCGTGTGCTCCCGCTTTGTGCACACGCGCAAGCACATTGCAGTTGACACACACCCACAGGGCAGCGACAATGATGACGACGATGATGATGGCTTTGTCGATGGCAGTGTGTATGGTGGCAGCAGACACCACGGCAACAACCAGCACCAGCAGTCACTGCACGCCAGAAACGTGATTGACATGCAAACATCCCAGCACCCCCAGATGGCGACGCGCAAGCGGCAAGCGGTGGTCAACGCGAAACCGTTTCTGATTGGATACGCCGCCTCCTCCACGTCAGGCCTGCAGCTGCTGGACGCCAAGTGTCGTGATGCAATACCACACGCCCGTTACGCAACCGCCGCAGAGGCAGGGCACCGCATGCACACGCGCGGCAGCGTGGGCGGCGGCAGCAGCAGCGTGGATGCCACTTTGAGCAGTAGTGACGGTGCTCGTGACGGCGGTGGTGGTGGTAGCGGCGTTGGGGAGCATGTATTGCGCTCGCCGTCCGCAGTCGCGCACACGGCATCACGGGTCTCAAGCCATGGCAATACCGGCAATGGCGGCAATGGAAGGATGAACAGGCGAAGACACGACGTTGACGATGGCGATGATGATGATGACGAGGATGACGAGGATGACGATGATGTGTATGATGATGGCGGATTTGCTGATCGTCGCGATATGGCAATTAACAGAAGCAGTAGAAGAGGAGCAACAAGAACAGTAACAACAAGAACAACAACAACAACGACGGCAGCAACAAGAGCAGTTGCGTCAACAACTAAAGCAGGAACAGGCTCATCGTCATCATCGTCGTCATCCAGACCGGGAGCGCGGGCGGCACCAACATCATCTCCGCATCGCAGGCGTCTTCCAATGTCGCTGCTGGACACAAAGCCCAGGACTTCGCGAGCAATGCGGGGTGATGGCGATGATGGTGGTGATGGTGGCGGTGACCGGAGGAAGGGCAAGCGTGAGAGTGGTCGTGGCACGGGTGGAGGCAGGGGGCGGGGCAAGAAGGCGAAGAAGACGGAGAAAGGAGCAGGGTATCGCTTGACGCCCGCAACGCTGACAGATATTGCGTCGCGGATTGTCGGGCATTCCCTCGACCTGAGCGCACCTGCACTTGCACAGATGGTGGTGGACGACACCGCCGACAACGATGACAACGCCGACGACGCCGACGATGACAGCACACGTGCAGGGGTGGCGAGCGTTGCTCAAGGAGACGGTGGTGACGATGGACAGGAAGAAGGGGTGGGAGAGCACGTTGTTGCAGGGAGCAGAACGACACGCAGCCGAGCGTCAGGGGCACAGGCACCACGAAGGAGTACGCCAACACACGCACCAGCGCAAGCATCGGCAGCAACAGCAGCAAGACCAGCGCTGCGATCTGCAACCACAACTCGAGAAACAAGAGGAAGAACAACAATGCGCGCACGAGCAACAGCGCGACCAGCACCGCCACGAGCAAGGGGCGTACCGAGCGGCGCCGATGAAGAGGATGAAGCGGATGAAGAGGTTGAGGACGAAGCGGATGAAGAGGTTGAGGCGCTGCAGGAAGTGCCGGAGACGCCGTTTGCCTCACAGGAGCAGACAGACACCGACCACCACCACCACCACCACCACCACCATGATGACGATGGTGGTGACGACGACGATGGTGATGATTGGGGTAACGTGGGTGCTGGTGATTTGGGAACACGCAGCGGGCAGGAGGAGAGGCGCACATACGCGCGTGCCAGAGATCATGAGAGCGGTGGCAGCGGGAGGAAGCCAACCGACAAGCCAGCGGCAGCAATACAAGCAACGGTTCACACGCGTGCAGGGGAGGCGTCGAAGAAAGAGGACGGTGATGATCGTGACTTGGACCTGCTCGCAATGATGTTGGAGTGACTCTGTGTGTGTACGTGTGTGCGTGTGTGTGTGCGTGCGTGCGTGTGTGTGTGTGTGTGTATGTGTGCAATACTGTGCTTTCTTTTTGTAAGCGCCATCTCTGCTGTCGTTCTCCTGCGTTATTGTCACGACTTGTCTGCGGTCCAGTCTTTAATTGAATCCAAGAAGGAGCAACCACAGGAGAGCACAAGCACAATGTAAGAGCGCAACACACACACACACACACAAGCAAGCAAACAAGCACAGTTACACAAGTTCATGTGCAACCGAGCCAACACATCAGCAGCCTTGCTTGCACATCAAATCAACAGCGCTAAGTGAACAAACACAACCATGATATGCCATCAGCCACGTCACATCAAATCGATTGGGAGCGTTGGAGGATTGTGGGTTGAAACACACACACACACACACACACACACACACACACACACACACACACACACACACACACACACACACACAGGCCGGGACGAGTATGAATGTGGAATGACAACGGAAGGCGAATTGGAACTGAAATGCATCTTTAAAGCACGTCGTCTTCGTCCTCCAGGGTTTTCTTGACCTTCAGCAACATTGTTGTGCCCCACGCGTCCAACTTCTGGATCGAATCAAACTCACGCACGGCCTGTGTGTGTGTGTGTGTGTGTGTGTGTGTGTGTGTGTGTGTGTGTGTGTGTGTGTGTGTGTGTTGTGTGTGTACGTGCCTGCACGCTGCGAGTGGATTCGTGTGACGATGCTGGTGGGCTAACACGATTTGTGTTTTTTCAGCTAGAGCTGTGGAATAGATGCGCCAGCGAGGCGCGGAGCATGGTGGTGAACTCGCTCGGCACATGAACCTGTCCTAACTGTGCCTTGATTTGCTTGG